GAATCCTCAATCTCCAGTCCTCTCTCGTCGCCCGGGAGCCGGTCCTCGAGGCCAAGGACCGGCTCGAGGAACACATCCCTGGTACACGCACACACAAATGCATGTGCACTCTTTATTTTTATTCCAATAGTGTATAAGTATGAGCATACACTTATTTGACACTTCATGTAGTCGGTGTAGAAACAAAAAAAGGGAAAGAAATTGCGAAATTTACGATCAGCATTCACTTTCACTTACATCAATTTCTTGGATAATGTCTTATTTTGCTTCTTCCGTCTTTCATTTTGATCACTTTTACCCTCTCTTCCAGCGTCAGAGCTCTTCTTGTCTTAGCTGCTTGACATCCAAAGGTCCGTTTTGTAGCCATTTTAGCTATGCAACGTTCTTGCTGCGTCTGAAACTAACAATAACAAATACTTCCTGGACTACTGCACATGTGTAAACCAGTGTGGTGGTTGCTGTTGCCGTTTCTGAACGAAGCAGTAGAGGTTGCTGTTGGATTAGACTTCGTTGTAGTGAATCTCGTCGCAAGGCAAGAGCAGAGAAAAAGATTTTGTATGATGCAACAGGGTTTTTTTTCGTTGCATGGGGGGCAGGAACGTGGGAATGGTGTTAATGCATGAAGATTTTTTCACACTAGGGGGTATTTTCCACCATTCAGGTTTTGTTGTAGAGGAGTTTCACTGTATATAAATCAGGTAGTGTAGTGTCCTGTTGGCATTTCCTTGTTTGTAGCTCCATCTAGTGGATGCATTGTAGATTGCGTCTTATAATGCAATTCCAATATATGAAAAACATTACAAAATAGGCCATTCATTGAAGGTGCGCCTTATAATCCAGTGCGCCTTTTAGTGTGGAAAATACGGTAATAAAAACTAGCGCTGCGAGCAGCTATGAAGGGCCGTCGCAGTGCCCTTCTTCAGTCCCGTGCTCTCTGAGTGTCTTGTCGTTGTCTATGAACCACTAATTGACATGTGCATTCGCCAATACACACTCAAACAGACAACTACTTTGTGAGCTATGAACAGCCATTACAAAATGAAGATAATACCACAAGCATAGTTAACTACTGACTAAATGAAGGAGACAAACAAGACCTTGAAGGATATTTAGCCCCTGGTGGATGTGAGCCCACAAGGTTTGTGTGCCTTTTTTTTAAACAATTGTCTCCCATAAATTTTGTCTTTCATTTATTGTTTTGTAATGCCATTTGCATTTATATGTTTTCATGTCCGCGTTTGTGAAGGCTCCCATGTACAGTAAATAAAGCTGTTGTACTGTATATTTCCCATACCGTAGCACCATCTAGTGGATACATAGCGCAATCGCAGCCACTATTGTAGCTTCTTTTCTATGCGTCTTATAATGCAGTGCACCCAATATATGAAAACAGTTTTAAAATAGGCCATTCATTGACGGTGCCTTATAGTCCAAAATGCCTTATAGTGCAGAAAATACGCTAATGATCCATTGCTCTACGTTTTACTTTTGGAGAATCATTCAACCCGTATATATGAGTGAGGGGATACTCATTGTCTGATTAAAAAGGTTTGGGGCTACACAAGACAAAAAAAAAAAAAGGCCTGGTCCCACTCACATTTCCTGGTGAATGCAATGCTTCAATGTTCTCGCCAAGTACATATGCACACAACAAATTCTCAACATTTCCAGAAATTAACAATTACAACCGACCGCTAACAAACATCAAAGACACGCATTTGTCATATGGGTTCCTTGAGACGGAACTCTATCCAGCATGATTTCGATATTTTCTGTCACAATGGTTGGTTGTCTCTGTGTGCCCTGCGACTGACTGGCAACCTGGTTCAGTGTCAGTGGGGGATGCTGGTCTGTCAAGAAGGGGAAGCTCAATTTCGGGCTACATCATAAAATGTGTCAGTTTATTTCTACGTGAATTCTACTCTCCGTTCTTTTTCAAGAAAATGATCTGTGACCCTGGCATACCAACAAGGCGTCTTTTCCAGGTTCTTAACTGTGGTGATATAAGTCAGTCTGCGAACACAAGCAACTACAATAAAACACACCAGAAATAAAAGATTAATCTGTCGCTAGTCGTTTTCAACAAAGAGAGTGTTGCCATTCGAGATTACTCGAAGTGTCCAGTTCAACTCAGAACAGAATGAGAAATGAAAAATGCTCCCACGGATGCCTACACCAAAAGATCGGTGATTGGCTCATTTTGCTGTCAATCATAACGAGATTCCGCCTCAGACAGATCATCCAATCCTCATGCAGAAAGCTCAGCGTCCAGGCGGGGCCGATACACGCCCACTGTCCATAGACTCCCAGAGACGCCGGGCGTCCGTGGGCGGGACAAAAACCAGCTTGTATCCAATGACTCGTCTCCGTTCAACGCATTGGGAACACCTACCCTGAACTCTCGAGACACCTGGCGTCTGGGCAATAGACGCTCTGCGGACGCTCGGCGTCCACCGTTTAAAGCACAGCGAAGCTGCGGGAATGAATGAGAAGGGAGTCGCGTCGTAACCAGTAAGAAGAAGCTGATTCGGAACAAAAGTTGAGCATGTTGTAGCGCATATTTAGTCAATGACATGTACACACAATGAAATTTACATTCATATATTTGATCACTTATTCTTTGACATTTTAGGGGAAGCCGAGCTTCCTTTGCAGTCCGAGAGCAATCGCCACTGTTCAGTGTGTACCCCACCTACTGCCCAAAGAGAGCTAAAATAGGCTCCAGCATGCCCGCGACCCTCGGAAGGATTAAGTGGTTCAGATAATGGATGGATGGATAGTTCCAATAATTTCAGGAATTGTATCGATGACAAATGCCTTTGAGCTGAACGATTTATCGTTTTGGGACCAAAACTGTGATCTCAGATAATGCAATTTCAAGATCGTCAATGTGTGTGTGTGTGTGTTTGTTTTTTTTTTTTTTTGTTTTGTTTTTCTTATACCCCAAGCTCACCAATCAGTGTCACGTCATGCTCCCGCTGTCAGCCATACTCCCAGAAGTCATTTCTTCCACAGCTGCTAACAATGCTAGCCGCTAAAACATTTTGGTTTGCGGCAGCACGGACTTTATTTATATCTTCAGTCTGTGTGCACCAGCAGCAGCAAGGAGTTGCGTGATTGGGATCTTCTCCTCTGTGGTGACTAATAAAATAACCTACAAACAAGTAGCGCTTTCACTGAGGAGTTGAACGAGGAGTCGCTAAGCATGCTAATTGCAGAGTCGGGAAAGACCCAAAATAAGGGCATCGAAATACAGTACATTTCACAAAAGTCTGGCTAGAACTGCGTTACAGCAGAAAGCCAGTGGCTATGAACAGAAAATTGGTTTTACAATGCATTCGTATCTCGACTTAAAATAAGAGACCATTAGTAATTTAGCACACGCCCGTGTTTCACAATGTGGCAAGTGAAAAGAATTCTAGGTTATACATGTACAAGCAGCCGAAATCTCCTCGACTCAAAAGAACATATTTGTCAAAAACATTGTACCACCCATAGTGCTTGGACGCCACAGTATGACAAAGACCGAGCCATGCCATGCCTACTTTTACCTTCGCTGTTGCATACTGTGGACTTATTTGACACTGGTTTGCGGTAAAAACTGACGAGTTCAAGCAACTTTTTACTGCACTTTAAACGTCCCGCAGAAGAGCCGTTCGGCTTCTTGACCACCAGGCTTCACAATTTTTCTGGGGGAAATGGTGCTTGTATATATATATATATATATATATACCGTAAATTCCACATTACAAGCCGTTACTTTTTCCCACACTTCCAACACTGCGGCGTGTAATATGAAGCGGCTTTTTAATTTTTTTTTTTCCATCGCGGGAAAAACATGGACCAATAATATGAATGAGTCTTTCACTGAGGTCCAATGAGATTGTATGACTAATCACAACTTCCGCTCTTTTTTTCCGTAGCCGGGGGAATAATGTGTTACTCACAACAGTCGACCAATAAAATGAATGAGTAGTACACAGGGGTCCAATGAAATTGTATGATTACCGGTAATCACAACTTCCTTATTTCAGTCTTTCTTCTAACCCTGATCAACATGGAGAATACCAGACGAAAAGCATTAGATGCAGCTTTTAAAGTGAAAGCGATCACTCTGGCAGTTAAAGAAGGAAATTGAGCTGCTGCCAGTAAGGCGTAGAAAAAAAAGTAGTGTGTTTCCGGAAACCCGACCGACCGAGAATTTCTACGTCGAAAAAACACTTTTCGGTCGGCATTTTTTTCAAACAACCCTCGACATTTTTGTGTAGAGGGTTTACATTTTTAAAACAGTCAGTTGATTTTTTACTTTTATATGTTTTTACAATATTTAATATTTCATTTTGATTCACTGCAGTAAGAAACATTGTGGAAGAATTTTTTTCTATGTATTTATCTATTTCAAAACAATTTATTGGATCAGGAATTTGTTTTGCTAAGTTGCTGCCAATATTAACAAAATATTCATTAAATTCCTTTGCTATTTGTGCAGTATCCTCAATAATGGTATTTTTATCTTTCATAAAGTACTCCGGATAATCGACTTTACTAGAGCTATTTCTAATTACCTGATTTAAGATTTTCCATATTTCTTGAGTGTTGCTTTTATTTTGCTCCAATAATGTATGAAAATGGTCTCTCTTGCTGGTTCTTATAATGTTTACTAATTTATTTTTATAAGTCTTGTATTTAGTTTCAGCTTCTTTGGTTCTGGATTTTAGAAACGATTTGTATAGATTGTTTTTCTTTTTACATGCATTTTCTATACCTTTTGTTATCCATGGCTTACTTTGGTTTTTGTACTTTCTGGTGACCTTAATTACTGGGAAATGCTTGTCATATAAGGAGGTTATGGTTGACTGAAATACGTCAAACGCAGTATTTGGATCTTTATTTGTGTAGACCTCAGACCAATTTTGCTTGTCTAGGTCGAGCTTGAAAGCTGCAATGGAATGTTGGGTTCTGGGTCTTATTTCTGATATGTGGGTTATTGGTTTCGTTTTTTTATCAAAGTAATTGTGAAAGACTGCAAAGACCGGTAGATGGTCACTTATGTCGGTTATGAGAAGTCCACTTTCCTTTTTATGGTCAATCTTGTTTATAAATATATTATCTATTAATGTGGCCGTGTCAACTGTTATTCTGGTGGGTCTCAGAATGACTGGGTAAAGACCGTTGCTATACATTATATTTATGAAATCTGTTGTTTTTTTGTGTCCATTTGGGTTTAATAAATCGATGTTAAAGTCTCCACATATTATTCGTGTTTTCTTGTTATTTGAACAACTCAGCATATCTATCAGTTTTTTATTGAATGTGTCAAGACAAGATCCTGGAGTCCGATACACGCAACTTATAATGACATTTGATGCATTTTTAATATGTATTTCAAGAGTCAGACATTCCATTAAATTCTCTATTGTATTTGTCAGGCTCTCAATTTTACTGCATTTCAGTGTTTTATCTACATATATTGCAACTCCCCCTCCTTTTTTATCTTCCCTATGAGTTGCATACATTTCATATCCATCAATTTTCATTTCGCTTGTTTTTTTATCATCAAGCCAAGTTTCTGACACAGCAATTATTGTAAATTTATTAAATGTAGTCAAATATTCTTTGATTTTGGTGAAATTTTTATAGAGACTTCTACTGTTTATGTGTATCACTGAAAAAGCGTTTTTCAGTTCTACATTTATGTTGAATTGTTCATCAGTATAATACTCGGAGTTTGTAATGCTGTAATTGTAATTGAAGAAATTATTGTCAGGATCCCAGTTGTTCTCTGGGTCGAATGTCTTATGTTCAGCATAATCAAAGATTTTAAAATCCATGATTGTGTTGTAAACAAGCGGCCACGAGAGAACACATTTTACCTGTGTTTTGAGCCGCGCAGCATCGGGCCTAAGGCTGCCAACGATGATCATTTTTAAGCGGCTGACTATAGAAATAATTTCATATATCTTTTCCCATTTATATGATTTGCATTATTCTATTTAAAGCCTAGTGGGCTGCAGTATTTCTCCTCGTAATTACACAAATGCGCATCGAGATCTGTCTTTGTCTGGCCTCTTATGTGTTTCAGTGAATTTCGTTGTGCAAATGCATTTATCATGCTCACAAAAATATGGAGATTATTTTAACCTTAAGAAATGTTGCGTTTTGTTTCTGCAGGGGTTCAGCAGGGGACCGCGTCAGCGGCCTAACGCGGAGGCTCCCGGCGGCAGGGACGCAGAAGCAAACCCCCGCCTACTCATTGGCCAGCGGTTTATAGTACGGTGCGGCGCATATAATTACAAAATTGATTTTTCTTCATAAATCTGAGCATGCGGATTTTAATCAGGTGCGGTCTGTAGCCCGGAATTTACGGTATGTGTTTGTTGAATGTAAGGTAGGTTTTTCTTGTCTCACCTTTTTAAAGTGTGTTGCGGACTGGACCTTCCGAACAGGCTGCATGAGGGCATCCCGTACGATGATGCTGATGTCAGCACCAGAGTAGCCGTCTGTTTTGTGAGCAAGCTGCCGCAAGTCACCCTCGCTCAGGCTGTGAGGCGTGTTGCCCAGGTGTAGACGAAACATCTGAGCCCGGGCCGACTCCTCCGGCAGAGCGATGTAGATGCGCTTTTCAAATCTGTTCATCAGAGACAAGTCCCGATCAATCATTGCTGTTAGCAGAGGACTGATTGAACAGTTAAGAAGAGTAAAAAACACAAAAGGAACAGAGATATTAAAAAAGTATTTTCCCGACAAACTATGAAAATATCTAAACATGAATTGTAAATTGACAAAAAAATAAATAAACAGGGGGCAAGGACAGAGAAGTTTTAAGAAAAGAACGATGTCCAGAAACCAGAAAGCACACAAGTTCGAAGACGAGGCAGAAGGGGACGATAATGGTGGTGCCGCCCGGCACGACTTGTTACTCGAAGGCCTTGTCACGATCACAAAAGAAATGACACCGAGAGAAAGATATGAAGGTAGGATCTGTACCAGAATTGGTGAAGGGACTCCTCTGCCAAAAAAAAAAAAAAAAAAAAAAAGATAAAGCTTTGTCCAGGTTTAGGGAGGAGATGACACAGGTTATTTTTCTCCAAGAGATGCACTTCTCACAGGGGGAGCAATTAAGTTTCAAAAAATTGGAGCGCTGGAATTCACTCTTCAGTGCCTTGGCTCAAACACGCAAGCGAGGAGTAATGAATTTGATCTCCAATCGGGTCAAATTTGAAGTGATGAAGGAAGTTGGTGACTAGGAAGTAAGGTACCGTATTTTCCACACTAAAAGGTGCACTGGATATGAGGCGCACCTTCAATTAATGGCCTATATATATTTTTTTCATATATTGCACGTACTGGACTATAAGGCACATACACTAGATGAAGCTACAGGTATGTCTTTGTTCTTCTCCGTGCCTTCTCTTCTTCCGATAGACTCGAGAGGCGTTCATTACCGCCTCCAAAAAACGTAAATTAACGATTACTTCAATGAAACTACGAAAATTGAAAATACAGTAATGCATCAAAACAGAAAAATCACAAAATAAATTCTATAGCCCCCCCCGACAGAATTTATTTTGGCATTTCCTTGAGCATTGCTGCAACAGAACGATCAGATGTCAGTAAATTTGATCTTAGTTTTTACTGTTTGGTGCCTACTACCATCTTTGTTGCTGATTATTGCTTTATTGTTGTATATATGTTAGTTGCTCCATGTACAGCACTTTGTATGCAGCAATGGCTGTTTGGAAGTGCTCTATAAAAACAGTTGAGTTGAGTTTAATTGGAGGAGACTGGACTGTCTCAGAAGTGTTTGTTATTTATTGCTTTGTTGTGAACTGTATTCACAAACGAGGAAATCACAAAATAAATTCTGTAGTGGGGCTATAGAATTTATTTTGTGATTTCCTCGCTTGATTTTCTGTTTTGATGTTTACATCTTTCCGAGGCGGTCGTGAACGCCTCTCGAGTCGAACGGAAGAAGAGAAGGCACAGACGGACAAAGACGTACCTGTATTTGTTGAGGCTGTTAAAACCATTAATAAAGTGTGCGTTTTAAAAAAACAACACCTAGTGCGGTGCAAAAAAAAATAAATTTAATAAAGCAGCAACACAGTTCACTGAACCAACAGCAAGTTATAACATTGTAAGCATGTCTCCAGCAAAGAGCCATCTGGGGGTCGACATATTACCGTAATGACCACACACAAGGCGCAGCGGATTTTAAGGCGCGCGGTGAGCTTTTAAGAAAATGGAAGACTTTTTGGTGCGCCCTATAGTGCGGAAAATATGGTATACTGTATAAAGGGAAAATGTAAAACCAATTTGTGATATTGCATCTGCTCCTCGAGAGAGTGAGAAAGTCTTTTATGAGAAAATATTTCATCCGCTAACTGAAAATATTTCATCTGATAATTGAAGCTGAAAGGGTATTGGAATAAGGTGGGTACTTGAATGCGATATTGAATTACAAGCTAGACACAACAGGTAAAAGGAAAAAAAAAATAGACCTATGAATACAGTGATGTCAGTATCAGATGGACTGGGTGTATGGAGAGAACTACATTGATTAGATTGGGACCGTACCCACTCCACTGAAGGAAAATAGACCCAACAATTTTATGGGACGGCGTGAAGATGGTTATTAGAAGGAGACTGATTTCACACTGCATTTGCTTCTAGTCAAATTGGAAACATATCAGAAACAGACTATGAAATTAAGAGAATTGGAACAACAGCGTCAGCAGACGAGTGATTCAGAAATGCCTGATGAGATTAAGGAAAGTATGAAAAGTATTAATGATTCGTTTTTTGCTTTTTTTTTTTTTTTTGGAAGGGGGAGAATAGAATGTGCCATGCGACTGACTGGTGTCCAGTTCAGGATGTAGTCGGCCTTCCGCCCCCAGTCAGCTGGGATAGGTAGGCTCCGGCACCACCATTCCCTCACAACCCTGTATAGCAGGGGTATCAAACTTATTTTAGTCCTGGGCCAATTTGGAGTTAGGTCTTCCCTCGGAGGGCCGTTATGACAGTGAAACCACAAAATTATTACTTGAAATCAGTCAAGTCAATTTAATTGTTTGTTCAATTATTGTTCAAGTGAGTGAAAAAGGGATTTTAGCAAGTTGACACATGATTTGCTTTGGCGGGCCACATAAAATGACCTGGCGGCCGGATCTGGCCTCCGGGCCTTGAATTTGACACCAGCGCTGTACAGGATAAGTAAGCGGTGTTGATAATGGATGGATGGATGGGGTAGAAAAGGAAGCAAGGTTTATAAAACAAATTTATTCTAGGGCCACCAAAGTCTCATTAGGGTTCCATAAGCCTTGTGAGAACACTGTCTGCAAGTCGCTCTCCTATGGCATGACAGGGGTCTTTTCCTACTGTAAGTAAAGCATGACATTGCACATGTAGGACACTTTCCGATTCTCTCCTCTTTCATCTCAAACTGCTTCAAACAACAAAGCGTGTCCCGGAAAAGTGGTTAGGACTGTACGACTGTCCGTGTTTTATGTTATGTGTTGTGTTTATTGTTTTACTTTATGTTAACTGTTTTGGTAAGCACTTTGTTACAGCTGCCGCTGTTGTGAAAGCGCTATATAAATCAGCATGTATTGTATTGTATGTACAAAAGTTTAAGCCAAAACTTGTCCGGTTTCAATGCGATGTACTGCAGAAAAGGACATGGGCCTTCTGTTGGAATTAGCTGTTAATCAAGCAGTATGTGTTGCTCTGGGTAGTACAGGTCCCCCCCCCCAAATGTCTGAAATAGAAGCATTCATCCGTCTGGACGCATTCCAAATGACTGCCCTTGATTACAAAGTGTGAATTGCGCTTGAACTCTTGATATCGTCGCAGAGACCTTGTGGACATAATAGTATTGGATCTCGAGAGACAGACAGAGAGAAATAAAATACTGACAATTAAAGACAATCAAGAGAAAATAATCAGCCAATATGCAAGTCTGCGGTTGGTTAGATACTTGAATGTGGAGGCCCGCTGTACATAAATTACTTTTATGTAAAGAAAAAAAAAATAATCATAAAGATAAATGATGTGACATGCTTCAAAATAAGTCGACACCATGTCATCAATGAAGGAAAGATAAAACTTAAGTTTCCAAGAACAGTATTGAAGTGACCTCTGACCTTCGGCGGATAGCAGCATCAAGCACCCAGGGAATGTTGGTGGCTCCCAACACCAAAATGCCATCGTTGTTGTTTCCCACACCTATGCAAATCACAGATTAAAACAATCAAAACTTCATATACTCTTTTTATTTTTTTTAATACAGATGCAAGAAAATAATCGAAACTCTTTGGAATTACATTGATTTCTCTATATATTGGTTCCTAAAATGTGATCTGGGCACGTAGCAAACACACAAGGAAGTATGCCAAAGAGAGGCAGGCAAATGAGAGTTCACCGATCAGAAAGTCAACAGCGTGATAAGACACAAGGGAAGGTGCTGGGCGGGGTACACAAGGGAAGGTGCTGGGCAGGGCTGCGAAGATGCACGGCCAATCAGCTCATGGGAAAAATCCACTCGTGCTGTCATTGGTCGACGCCGCACCGAGAGCCAATCATGCGCACATGTATGCACAAAACCTCTGAGTCATTCGGCACTTTTTTCTGAATACAGTACTTTGGGGTGGGTGGATGGACAAAAAAAAAACAAAAAAACGCAATTTACTGATGCCATGATAAATGAAGCATGATATAGCGAGGGATCACTGAATGTGTGTGTGTGTAAATATATATATACCTGTATATACCTGTGTCACAAAATTATCTTCACAGGGTGGCCATTTTGTGTTAGTGCTAATTTTTCGAAGGTGATAAGAAATATGATAGTATTCTTTCATCAGGTTGCAATGACAAATTATGACCAGCAGAAGGCAGTCATCGACTTTTGTCTTGCACGTCCAAGTGGAGCTCCAGTGATAATTTTACAGTTAACCCCCAGCGAGTCCCAGGGACTCGCTGGTCAGAAAAGTGTGATTCCCATTATGCATTTAGAGAGTCCCAAATTTTGATTTCTGAAATGGTCTACTTATTCAATTGCATATGACAATAACACAAACAACAAAATATTCATAATTTTTTTTCTTTCCGTATTTTTCTTGCTTGGCTCTCGACGAAGGCGAACGCTTTTTTGCTCTGCTCCTGTCTTTCCCTCACCCTCCCTTGCTCGCCACTCAGTCTATGTGCTGTCCTTGTCTGACTATCCTAGCCTCCTGCCGTATTTTCATCCTAAAAACAAACATGGAATTGGTTGGCTGGTCTCTCGATGCCATCGACAAAATGTTCTCGACGAGAAGAGCAGGCAGTGGGGAGCCTACTTGCCCCTCGGGGACTTTTGCTGGTGGGTACACCCTAGATGTCTGGAGGAAGTGGAGAATGGTGTGCCTGTGTTAGAGGAATCTATGAGCAAAATTGTATCACGTTTAAAGTTTCATTTAATTTGGGAACATCTAAACGTTTGGGTGCATATCCAGCACCCCCAAATACCTGTACACAAAGGTGCCGGCCACCTGGCCGGAGGACGGTTGAAGTCCACAATTAGCACGTCAATGCAGGTGGGCGATCACAGGGGAGAGGGCGAAACTCGGTCACAAAAGGGGAATGAATAATTCGGGAACCGCGGTTGAACAACAAAAGACGAGTTGAGAACACCCGTCGCGCCCAGGCGACATTGGCCATCCGCGAAGTCTGCAACAGGTTAATTCGATGTAGACCCGACAGAAAAGGTGCCAATCTCACACCCAGGTAACCAATCACTACCGAGGGGCCGGACCAGGGGTGCGGTATGCAAATATCGGGGGCAGTGTTTTTCTTGTATTTTGCATATGTCACAATAAAGGTTCGAACTCGAGGAGGGGGGGCTCTGAGTGTGATCGCGGAGCAACTAAACGGTCGTTCGCTCTCAGAGATCCGCTTCCGTCGATATTGAAGACAATTTTCCTGTGTGCCGAGTCGTTTCTTTAAGTTTGTCCGAGAAAATCTCTGACAGAAACTTGGCGTTGTCGGCAGGATGATGCGCTTGTTCGAACGGATTTGAGTTTTTTTTGGACTCTCTTGATTCCCTCCGGTGGACGATCCGTGGCTGATCGCGCGTTT